AAAAGATGATCATTAAGATGAGATAGACACAGTTTGTTACAATTAGTTTTGTTAAGAATTCAGATTAAATTGCTTTAAATGTATGAAGAAGGAAAGAATCCATAATGATCATTTTAATGATGTTGAAAAAATTAACAGCTTGATTCAATTCATTGATTAGAAAAATTAAGAATGTGATAAATTAATTGATGATCTTAATAAATTAATAGAAGTTATGAATCAATCATTTTCTTAATTAAAAAGAGGAATCATATAAAAATATTAATTATATAAGCAAAGATTAATATTATTGAATTCTTAATAAATAAATGATTACTTGAATTCAACAATCTAATTTAAAGAATATTAATAATCAATTACAAAAATCATATCAGAATAGACTAATAAATTAAATCATTCTTTTAATAATTTATATCAATAATTAAACTTATCTTAATTTAATTATTATTAGATTGATAATAATTCTATATAATTATCTAAACAATTATAAGATAAAGGTATTCATCTTATTATAATTATTAGGTTATAAATTATATTGGGAATATAAATATCTTGAAGCCATAGAAGTACTAGATCAATCTATATAATAAGATCCAAATAATCATCAATCATTATTGTGTAAAGGTTAAGTAATAAATAATTAATAGGTGAATGCTTAAGATTATTAAATAAATATGAGGATGCAATCACTTGGTATGACAAAGCATTAATTATTGATACGAAGCATGTTGATTCTTTATGTGCAAAAGGTAAATTGCATCATAATGTAATTAATAGGTGAATGCTTAAGAGGATTAAACAAATATGAGGATGCAATCACTTGGTATGACAAAGCATTAATTATTGATACGAAGCATGTTGATTCTTTAAGGGCAAAAGGTAAATTGCATCATAATTTAATTAATAGGTGATTGCTTAAGATTATTGAAAAAATATGATCAATCTTTAAAAATATTAGATTAAGCACTTACCATTAATCCACAACATAGCTTTTCTCTTCAATCTAAAGGTATATTATAATCATAATTTATAGGTTTATGTTTAGAAGATCAATACAATTATAAAGAAGCTTTAATTTATTACGAGAAATCATTAAAGATAGACCCAAATGATCAATGGATAATAAACTAAAAGAGTATTTTTAACATATTAGATTAGAAATTTGTGAGAATAAATTGAAGAAATGACTATTCAATATTAAAAAATAATTATATTTTTATTTCTTTATCAAATTACTTTATTAAATCTTCTCAAATTTTACCTTTTAGGCCTTATAAATTTTTAAGGATTAGATTGCTAAACTTAAATTTTTGTTTATTTAATTCTGAAATTTCCAATAATATACACATTATTTATTAAGCAAAAAATTGAGATTTAATCTTTTCAATTATATCACATATAACATAGATGTATTTATATAAGTTATGTAAAAGAATTTT